TGCAACCAGCGGCAGGATTCAAAAATGCGCAGTTTCGAGGTTAGATAGAGTTTTGGCACATTTTCAATACCTTTTCCTCAATATAGGTATTTTCAAACGTATGTTTCAGTTCGAACAGAAACTTCTTTCAGCAATAATTGATTCAAAAGTTCCTTCTCATTTCTATTGATTTTTTTGGGAACAGCCATGGCCTTTGTTTACGGTTATAAATCAATCAATAAATTGCAGTTATAGCAAGCAACATAAAAATTCACTCAACTTCATGAGCATTTATCAAAATGAAATATGAATGACTCAGTCAAACTCACGTGAATGAGAGAGGCGGCGTGCCAATTGCCTCACATCTGAAACGAACTTCTCCTCCCGCAGAACGTGTGGCATTCTTCAGCTGTGAGGTCAGGCGAATATAAGGCCTCGGACCAGACGAGGATGCCCCGTCCATCCTGAAAATTGTTTTTTAGATCCTTCATATTTTTCACTACATTATCACTACAGCAAAGAGCAATAATCGAAGTTTCAAGACAATTAAGGATTTGCTCAGAAAGTTGCTTTTCAGACAATTGTTCCCATGAAATTGGAATTGGAACAGTGCAGGAAGATTGCAAACTAGGCATAACGTTGCTAGGAGTTCTCATAGCAAATAATTACTATGCGATTCACATCGCTCTTTGAAATGTGCTTCCTATTATCAACCCGTCTTCATTTTGCAGTACCACTGTTTGATCGGCGGTGGTGCAGTGGCAAGTGGCGCCGCTTTTTGCGCGCAGGATCAGACCGGGATCGAACCTCGCTCGCCCAGAGCATCCAAGTCTTCTCCTTCCGCGTTCGGCTATTTAATTCTGACGTGTGCAATATGCTGCCGGGGAGGGACAGTCTGTAGGAAGGCTCAATGGAGAGGGATGAGTTCCGGAAAGTGAACAGCTTTCGCTACTCGGATTCTCTCTTCTCCTTTAAGGTGCAGTAATGGAACTGGTCGTTTCCGTGAATCTGAAGCAATGTGGCGGACTGCCCCCCCCTCTTCCGGGGCCCACTGCGCCTGGACTTGTCCGAGGGGATGAAAATACTGACTTCGACTACATCGGCTTGCCGCCGTAATCACTAAATTTAAATCGCATTAAAATGCCACTACGATTCTGTTGTTTTTCATCACGCTGCTAAACTGTAACATTTGCTGAATAAACTGCAGAAAATTAACCGATCTGATTAAATAAACCAGTTTACCATAAGAAAAAAGTTCACACTGTGCTGCATTCAAAATGGGATAGATATAATGAACATTAATTTCCAGGTTATTATGCCGGAATAGGCAAAGACATTGAGAAAAGCAACCAAAGTTCAGTAGTATATTCGGAATTCTGTAGTAGCCGTGCGGCTGACTTCTACTAAAGAAAGAAAAACACATGTAAACAAAATAAATAAAACGGTACGATTCGCTCTTTCTTCACACGAACCAAATATCAAATCGTCTAATATCAAATTTGCATATTTTATGTAAAACCTATTAAAACCATACCTATTTAAAATTTATGAGCTCCAGGAGAGAACCAATAGGAATTGTTTTCG